TCTCTGGGAGTGCAAGACCAGCCTGGTCTACAGAGTGAGTGCCAGGAGAGGCTCCAAAGCCACACGAGAAATCCTGTCACAGAGGGGGAAAAAGAAAGAAAGAAATGAAGTTCTAACTATACAGAATCTCTAATATTAGTTGGAAGCATCTCAATCTGATAGTATGATTTCATATTAATAAGGATCTTTGTGTTAATTTCTTCTTCATTTCATTTTTCCCTGTACTGGAAATAGATTCTTTTCTCATACAATATATCCTGATTATGGTTTCTTCTCACTCTACTCCTGCCAGTTCCTCCCCACTTGCCCTTCCCTCCAGATCCACTCCCTTTCTGTCTCTAATTAGTAAGGAATGGGCTTCTAAGAGATAACAACCAAACATGACAAAATAAAAATAAAATATGATAAGATGAAGCAAACACCATCCTATTGAAGTTGGACAAGGAAACCCAACAGAAGGATAAAAGTCCCAGGAGCAGGCAGAAGAGTCAGAGACCCACTCTCCTCATACTTGGGAGACACACACACAAAAAAACACTAAGCTGAAAGCTATAACATCTACACAGAGGACCTGGTGCAGACCCCTGTAGGCCCTGTGCTTTCTGCTTCAGTCTCTGTGAGCTCATATGTGTCTTGCTTAGTTGAATCAGAAGGCCTTGTTCTCCTGATGTCCTCCATCCCCTCTGACGCTGCACTCTTTGTGCCTTCCCTTCCACAGGATTCCCTGAGCTCTGGGGGTTGGGTGGGGTGGTGATGGAGACATCCCATTTAGACTTTTTCTCTGCATAATGTCTGGCTGTGGTCTCTGCATCTGTTCCCATCTTCTGCCAGAGAAAGCACTCTGTTGATGACTGGAAAAGGCACTGATCTTTGAGTGCAGCAGAATATCATTAGGGGTCATTTTATTGACACTATTTTGTAGACCAGTAGTGTTTGGATTTACCCTAGGTCTCTGGCTCTTGTTTACTCAAGCAATGACAGGTATGGATTACAAGTCCTTGAGGGGCCTTAAGTCAAACCATTGTTTGGCTACTCCCACAATTTCTGTATCACCACTGATTGCCCTTGCATATTTTGCAAGCAGGACAAATTGTAGGCCAAAGGTTTTGTGACTGAGTTGGTGTTTATGTTTCTATTTTAGTAGTATGCAGAAGACCTTTCCGAACCACAAACACTAGAATGTAGATGTGAAGGATCCATGTAGGTATCAGCTAGATTTCTCCATGTTCAATGATTTGTGTGGGTGTTGTCCTCAGAAATGGGGCCAGGCTGTTGGTTCTCAGAAAACAATCCATCGTTGTCTTGGGAGCAGCCTGGGTTGTTTGGGCACTTCTATAGGATCCCCTTGGCCAACAACTCAATCGAATGAAACCCAGTCCTGTTTGGGGATATTTGATTATGCTATGTGAAGATGTCTCAGTTTTACCTCATCTGCCTAAGACAACTTCCAACTGACTTAATAATGGGCTTAATGGCCACTAGCTAGACAGGAGAGGATAGGCAGGACTGCTGGGGAGAGAGAGGAACTGGGGGAAGAATCAAAGAGGTAGAGATTCATCAGTCAGATGCGGAAGTAGTAGGACGTATTGTATTGAGAAGTAGGTAATGAACCAGAATGTAGAGCATAGATTAATATAAATGGGTTAATTTAAGTCTTAAGAGCTAGTTGGGAACAAACCTAAGCTAAGGCCAAGCTTTCGTAATTAATAAGAAGTCTCCATTGTAACAAGAGGCTCTGTCCCAGCCTGGTCCTGTCGCCCTTTTCAGCCCCAAATAAACACACAGACGATATATTAATTATAAAACTGTTAGTTGGTGGCTAGTGCTTCTTATTGGCTAGCTCTGTCTGAATTATTAATCCATAACTACTAATCTATGTATTTCCACATGGTCTTGGCTTACTGGAGAATGCCCGGATCTATTACTCCTTTGGCGGCCTACATAGCGACTCTTCTGACAGGCCCTCTCTGCCTACCTTTCCCAGAATTCTCCTCATCCTAGTACCACCTATCTTCCTGCCTCATTGGCCAGACAGTGTTTTATTCATTAACCAATAAGAGAAACATATATACAGAAAGACAACCCCCATCATTCCTTGTCATTATTTGGGAGCTGGTGATCCAAAGAAAGACCTGTTATATTGACTGACTACATTTGACTAATTCCTGTCAACTATTTGTGGGCTCTGACTCCTGGCTCAAGGTTGATTTTATTAACACAGTCTTGGATTTCACAGTGTGACCTACCAAATGTAGTTGGAGATGTGAGCAGTGGGCCAGGGAAGGCTGCAGCTGGTATTCTGTTGTGGTGCTAGGGATAAGACTGGTAGATTGGATGTGCAGGGGTGGAGGGAGTCATGAGGGTCTTCTTTTGGCTTAGCTGTTTCCCTGGCCTGCTCAGCAGGTGTGTTCCCAGTGAATGAATGCCCTCTGGTGTTGGAGACTGGGGTAATAGGATGAGCTAGGGGAAGGGAAATTGGGAGGTGGGGAGATCTTTGTGATGATACCTTGGGGATGGGGTCAGAGAGGAAAGGGAGACCACAGCAGATCTTCTGCTACAGGGCTAGGGATGAGACTTCAGGAATGGATCTGGAGGAACAAATGGAGAGGTATGGGTCTGCCTTCAGCCTACTTGCTTGTTAATTCCTTCTTCTTAATAGAAGCACTGGGCCTGTGAGATGATTTAGGGGGTGTGGTTGCTACCACCACCCTGACAACCTGAGTTCACATGGTGGGACCCACATGGTGGAAGGAGAGTCAACTCATTCAACTTGTCCTCTGACCATCACACACATTTGTACACATACACACAATAAATAAATATTGATTTATTAATTAATGTAAAAATTTAATAGAACCACATGGGCCAGTGAGGTGGCTCAGTGGGGAAAGTGCTTACCTCACAAATCCCCAAAACTCTTATAAAGGTAGAAAGAGAGAACTAGTCCCAAAAGGTGTCCTCTAATCTCCACGCATGCACCCACAGTCACACACATGACACAGATATGCACAATAATAACAAAGTTTTCTTATTTTAAAATAACTTTATTTATTATGTATACAACATTCTGCTTCCATGTATATCTGCACACTAGAAGAGAGCACCATATCTCATTACAAATGGTTGTGAGCCACCATGTGGTTGCTGGGAATTGAACTCAGGACCTCCGGAAGAGCCGTCAGTGCTCTTAACCTCTGAGCCATCTCTCCAGCCCAATAATAACAAAGTTTTAAAAATTAAAAAAGGATCACACATGCAATTGTGTGTGTTAATGTTTTGTAGACACATGCATAAAAAGGCCAAAATTTCTCTGATAGTGAAAAAAACTATTTGCTTCTCTCTTTTTCTTCTTCCTGAGTTATCAGATGCTTCTTATGAAAAGGGGAAATTGGTGTTTCATGCATTATTCAAAGATTAAGCTTCTAATGAACACAAATTTTCTTTTATTTTCTTTCTTGGTCATTTAGTTTTAACAAAGATTGATAACTACACTGTTCTGGATTGTTCCCTGATGAGTCCTCCAGAAGTCACTGAGAACCACCTTGACTTGAACTTGAAGGTAGGTGTCATTCTAGGGCACCCTCCTGCCTGTGGAGAGTATTTGGAGCACAGAAATTATGTTCAGAAGAAAATGTACATGTATGATTTCCTATAGCACCTGCCTCATGTTCGCACCTTTTCAAAAGACTCCTGATCCCTTTCTTGGTGGGCAAATGGCTGTTGTCCTTGCACTACTTATGTCTATCTTCTTAATGAGATATAGCAAGACATTTTGCCTCTTCCCTCCTGGATAAGATTTGAGGCTAGAAGCCTGCAAGTAGAATAACTGCATTTATTAGAACCGAACATATCAGGAGCTGTGGAGGAAATGCTCAATTGGTACAGTACTGGCTGCACAAGATGAGGACCTGGATTCAGTGGGTAAAGCCAGGCATGGGGGATGGCATTGGGAGGCAGAGATAGGACAATACCTGAGGCTCACTGGCCAACCAGTTAGGTGATTCCTCAAGCCCCATGTTCAATGAGAGACCCTGACTCAAAAATTAAGGTGGAGAGTGATTAGGGAAGACATTCAACATCAACCTCTAGACTAAACATACACACATGCACTCACACACGCATGCATGCATACACAGGCGCACAGGTACCCACACATGCATATGTGTGCATATCCACACTCATGCATGCATGAGGAATTTAACACATCTAATGTTCAGAACACATACTGAACAAATTAGCAGATTTCACTGAGGCTACTGACCGCTACTGAAGTCATAAGTATGTATAAATGGTGGTTACTGACACTGGAAATCATCATCTTGCTTGTGTTTAGTTTTATCCAAGTTAATATCACAATCTTTTTGTTCTGAGACAGAGTTTCACTATGTGCCTCTGGCTGTCCTGGAACTCACTGTATAGACCAGGCTGACCTCAAACTCATAGAGATCCTCAGCCTCCTAAGTGCTGGAATTAAAGACATGTGCCACTATACCCGATATATTACAGTTTTTAGAATGAAAATTGGTTTATATTTCCTTTATTCACAGTCTTTCAAATCAGTTAAGTGCTGTTCAAGACAGTACATTTAGATGATTCACAATACCTAATAAGACCAGGATTAAAAATGCTTCATTAAGCCATTTGGAGTCCCTGTCTATCGGTGAATGTCTATGTATTTTCAAGGTCCAGAGTCAGGCATCTGGAAGGCTGGTTCATGCATTATTCATAGGTGGGTCTTGCCTGACTGCACCTCCCTCCTAAGAAAAGTTCTAGCTTGGAGCCTCTCCAGAAGTGACACCTGAGAGTGAACACATACTGTAGACATGCTCAAGAATCACCAGAGCTCTGGGTTGGGACGGGGGTCGGGGGGTGGAAGTAGGGGGCTGTTGATACACAGGGCTCCAGAGTTCTGGGCTGGGGAGGGCTCAGCTCTTTATACACACACAGCCCCAGAGCTCTGGGCTGGGGGAAGGCTCAGCTGTTGAGAACGCACTGCTCTTCCAGAGGACTTGAGTTCTGTTCCCAGCACCCATGCCAGGTGGCTCACAGCTGCCTGTACCAGTTCCAGGAGATTCATTGCCTCTGACCTTTGAGGGCACCTGCACTCACATGTACATACCCACACACATGCATACCATTTAAAATATGTTTTATTCTCAGAATTCTTATATGGCCATTAGCTAAGGAGCCTAAAGACCTTATGTTCTTGTCCTTAGCGAGAAGCATCTGGGTTTTGTTTGTTTTTTCTTTTTTGTTTTTTGTTTTTTTTTTATCCAGACTTGAAAGGTCCCAGCTTCTGTCTCATACCTTTGCATTTCCCCCCTAATAATTGCTCTTCATCTCTGCTTCCCACAGGGTGCATTCTACCCACTGGAAAGCCTCGTTGACCCTCCCTTCCTACCAGCCCCCTTTGAGCTCCCAAGGAACAAGGACTCCATGCTCTGCATTGGCGTATCTGAGTATTTCTTTAAATCTGCTTCCTTTGCACACTATGTATCTGGGGCTCTTGGTGTCATGCTGTCCACCAAGGAGGTAAGTAAAGCCTTGGGGTGCTGGCTGTGGCCACCATCTTTAATCATTTTTTTCTTATGTACATGTGTCCCATTATGAACTTCTTGTCACAGTTTTGATTCCTGGGCCTTTTTACACAATCACTCATTAAGAAATTATAGAATGGAGAGCTGTTGTTATTTTAAGAAGGGGGTTGTTGGGTTTCCAGTTCTAATTTAGTCTTCTCCATGATGTCTAGTAACTATTCTAGAATGATCTTAACACAAAGATATCTGTCTCTTCACCATTTATCATCTGTGAACTTTGGTCAATTCAACCTACTTCTATGTGTTGGTTTCCTCATCTGAGAATGGGGGCTGGGGTCCCACAATTTTAGAGTCATAACGGTCACTAAAGGGTTTAAAAATATATAGCTTCCAGAACAATCTCCGTACAGAGCAAGTGCTCTTCTACTGCTGCTTCTGGTCTATATCACTACCATAACCACCACAACCACCACCACCATCACCACCACCACCAGAAGCAGCAGCAGCAGCAGCAGCAGCACTAACATGACCACCACCATCAACACCAACACCTCCATCATCATCATTACTTGTATTCTGCCAGTATAAGGATTTCTCCTATTGATAATTACAACTGATTTACACCAGCAGGTGGTACTGGTCCAGGTACTCACTGATTCTCTTTGCCATGTACCTCTCTTGTATCACAAGAACACCCTCTCTGGCTAGTCAACAAAAAGCATCCATTTCATTTATTTTGAAATGATTTATTTTATTTTGTGTACATTGGTGTTTTGCCTGCATGTATGTCTGTGTGATGGTGTCAAATCCACTACGATTGGAGTTACAGACAGTTGTGAACTACCACATGAGTGCTGGGAATTGAACCCAGGTCCTCTGGAAGCACAATCAGTGCTCTTCATTACCCAAAAGCACCCGTTTTAAATCTTTACTTTCTGTGTATCATAGTTGTATACATTGCTGTAAATCTCAGATGCTGTGGTGAGGACAGCAGCACCAGATGCCTTAGACTTGAAAAGAATGCTCACTGGGTAAAATACAAAGCAACTTATGTTTGGGGGAATCTCTGAAAATGACAACAATAACTCGAGACTTGCTTCTAATGACTGTCGGATGTTTGCATAAATATTGTGCATATATGATTTGGTGTTCTCCAGTGAAGAAGGTATTTCTCTAAAGGAATGTGACTTTGGGCAAGTCTCTGGCCATTTCTAGGCCTCAGATTTCTAAGGTTGGGTTATAAAATGATGTTATCTAACATTTTGTGGCTCCACCTCTTCACTTCACATTAGAGAGAATTCTACATTTTACCCCAAAAGACAACCCAGATATAATGTTGCAGTGAGGGTCTAGAGGGATGGCTCAGTGGTTAAGGGCACTGGCTGTTCTTTCACAGGACCTGGGATCAATTCTCAGCACCCACATGATGACTCACAATCATCTGGAACTGTAGTCCCATGGGATCCAATGCCCTCTTCTAGTGTGCAAATGTACATGCAGACAAAACATCCATATATATATATATATATATATATATATATATATATATATCATAAATAAATAATCTTTTTTAAAGTCTTGCAGTGATACAGTGCTTCTTTTCTATTCTAGATTTCCAACTATTTCAATCAAAATACTCAAGGAATTGGCAGCGTGCTCTCCAAGGTGAGTGCTCAAGGTTTGCTCCTCAGTGATGGATGTATTGTCACTGAAGTCACTTCCAGGAGACTCTTGGAGTCTCTACATTCTTCTTTGATCCAAGCATATGTCAATGCATCTTTCTGTTCTTTTTTATTTGTTTTCCATTCTCTCTTTCTTTTCCTGCTTCGGTTCTCTTCCTTTTCTTCCACTCCCTTTGTTCTTCCCCTCTTTCATTTCTTGACAATGTCTTAATATGTAACATGGATAAACTTGAAATCCCCCTGCCTCAGCCTCCCATGTCCTGGGATTAAAGGTATATACCACCATACTTGGCCTTCTTTCCATCCCTCAAGATTTTTTCTTCCTAATCAAACATCCAGAAATATTTCCTAAATAAAGCCCATTAAAGTACAACTAAAAGTATTGTTAAGTTCACAAAGCAATCAATCCATAAAATTCCACCACCCGTAAAATAATTCACTCAACTATAGAAATTACTGGCTTGAATGGAAGACTTAATCCTTAAGTTACATCATTTATTTATTTGTTTATTTATTGGCAAGGTTCAGGCTGGTCTGAAACTAAATATTTAACCCAGGCTGGTTTTTAATTTTGGTCCTCCTGAGTCATTTTTTCAACTACTAAGATACACATGACTTTAGTAAAACAACTGTTAATATCACCCCTTCATAACATTCCAGGTTTCATACATAAGAGACCTACAGGTTCAAGTCTGCCTGCGAAGAACAAGATGCTTCAGAGAAAGGCACTCAAGGCAGACAGATCTTGGCTGGCATTTCAGTTCTATAGCTAGTTTTGTGAAAACTGTGAGAAAAACACTTAGCCTGTCCACAACTCAACTTCCATTATAAAACCACTCCTGCCAGGTGATGGAAGCATAGGCCTTTAATCCCAGAACTTGGGAAAAAGAGACAGTTGGATCTCTGAGTTCAAGGCCAACTTGGTCTACATAGTGAGTTCCAAGACAACCAGGAATACACAGGAAATCCTGTCTTAAAAAACTTACTAACTAAATAAATAATAAAAATAAAAATAAAATAGCACTACCAATAGACCTGTCTTGGAATTTTATGAATTAAAAATAAGAGATGATAAAGTCCCTGGTTTTGTAGCTGGCACAAAGGATGTAGTCAGCAAATGCATGTTGTTATTCCTAGTAAAGAGGTGTATTCTGTTTTAACTGCTTGATGCAAGATTTACTTAGCACAGTCTGCTCCAGGTTTGTGGTTTCCCCTCATCAGCTCCTGACTCTATCTCTGTTTCTCTCCCCAAATGGGACAGATTGCAGAGATCTACGTCTTATCCCAACCATTCATGCTGCAGATCATGGCCACGGGGCCTCCTGTGATCAACTTACACCCAAACAATTTCAGCCTGGAGTTCCCTGCTGCTGTCATCATGCTCACTGAACTGCAGAACTCCACCATCGAGCCCATCGTCTCCATGGACTTTGTGAGTCTGCAGATACAGGAGGGTAGCCTCTGGGTACCAATCCTATTCCTGTTGGGAATCACTGACTAGCTGGCTCTAGATATTTGGAGTGAGGATAGAATAGAAAATAGAATAGAATAGAAAATAGAATAGAATAGAAAACAGAACAGAACAGAACAGAACAGAACAGAACAGAACAGAACAGAACAGAACAGAACAGATAGGCTGTCTATAACAGATCCACCTGCCCATATATGGAAGTGGCTATATATGAAGACAGAAGAGCTCATGAACTTGCGTGTAAAATATCTCACCAATCTCTACTTCCTGTGTTCTCTTCCATTACATTAGAGAACTGTAATCAAGTCAACTTTCCCTGGCCAATTAAAGTTTTAAAAAGTACAATGAAGCCAAACAAAATTATACACATGAATGAGGGATATGGCTCAGGGGTAGACTGCTTGCCTACCATGTGCAAGACCCTGGGTTTAATCCACAGCACTGCCAAAAGTTTTAAAAGACATGCTCAAACAAGAAACCTTTACACTTAGCTTCTTTCCCCAAAAGAAATATTTTTTCTCCCCATGTGGCCTAAGCTGGCCTCAAACTCTCATTCTTCCTTCCTCAACCTTCAAATGCTAGAATACATTCATTGACTGTACTACCCAGAGGCAGAGATATTTCTTCCCAACATCTTTTGATAACAGGGAACATTGGGCTTGGGTGTCTCCACTGTACTCCTATAGTGGAGCTACTTTACTTGTGGTCCAGATAAGTCACTCACTTCAGTAACAAGGGCTTTCTCATCTTCAGATTGCTAGTACCAGTGTTGGCCTGGCTATTTTGGGACAAAAACTGATCTGTTCCTTATCTCTGAACAGGTAAGATCAATTGATTTGACTTTTGGAAACCTTGGTAGCAAATTAGTGAACATTCCTCAAAGACAAAGTGACCACTAAGGAAACAAATGCTTTACTACTGTGGGATTGTGAGTCAGCTCGTACTCTGCCTCTAACAGAACAGATTATTTCAGTGGTTGAACTTGGTAAAAGAAGATTACACTCTGTTTTTTTCCTTCTTCAATGAAAGCAACAGCAAGATAAAATGGGAACAAGGTCATTGTAAAGATAATTCTATCAGCACGCATTGAGTTCCTCTTGGTGACTCAAAAAAGAGTACACTGAATGGGGATATGGCAAGAGGAGGGTTGCATGGGGACATCCAGGTACAGTGAACATCTTTAGAAAATCAGGGATCAAGTTTCAAATCCATTCTCATTGGCCTTATGGCCATGGTCAAGTCTTGCCTTCGTTAGGGTTACTATTGCTGTGATAAAACAGCATGACCAAAAAGCAACTCGGGAAGAAAGGGTTTATTTGGCTTACATATCCTAAGTTACAGTCCACTGAGTGAAGCCAAGGCAGGAACTCAAAGTGGGCAGGAACCCACCAGAGACAGGAGCTGATGCAGTGACCATAGAGATGGCTTGCTCCTCATGACTTGATCAGCCTTCTCTCTTACAGAACCCAGAACCACCAGTGAAAGTGGTGCCACCCAAAATGGACTGGACCCTCTTATACCAATCACTAATTAATAGAATGTTCTACAGGTTTGCCTACAACTTGATTTTACAGAGGTCTCCTCCTCTCAGATAACTATAGCTTGTGTCAAGTTGACATAATACTAGCCAGTACAAGTTTTTTGACCACTTCCATTTCAAGTCTCATTTCCCTATGTATAAGATAGTAGAATTGGACTGATACAGACCCTTCAGACTCTGACCACTGGACCCTATAACTAAAACACAGAATTTAACAAGATCTTGGCCCATGACCTAGGTAGTCTCAGAGGAGGTGACAAGGTGTGAAGGGACATGAACCGTTCCTACATATGGGTCACTAAACACCATCTTCAAAGTGAAGATGGAAGGGAGGATTCACAGAAAGATGAACTGGCCCATATTAAACTCATGGAAGAAGAGGAGGCAAGAACAACTGTCAGGAAAGAACTGAGAAAACACCCTAAGTCCACCTGATGGCTAGGCACAGGACTGCAGCAACATGGAAAACTCCCACAATAAAATCATGTTAAGTAGAAAAAGAATACAAAACTTCATAAATACAATAACCAATTGTATAATGTACAATTGTACAATGAAGAGCTTCATACCTAGATGAGAAACTAGATCAGCCATCACATCTTCAAAAGAAAAACCAGCATCCAAGGTTATGAGATTGGGAGATTGGAGTTATTTATTAAAATATTCATTATGCTATACTGTTTTACATTAAGAACACAGTTGTAAAGGTTCGCACAAAGAAAAGGCTTCTTGACTCATACTTACCCTCCGAGTATAGCTGACTTCTCCGAAGGATCTGGAGACACCATACCCGAATTCACCAGACTTAGGGACCAAGGACAATACATTCAAGTACGTTAAAATAACACCCTAAAGAAATACAATCCAGACTTTATTATACTAAGTTTACACCAACAATAATTTCAAAACAATTATAATTTCAAAAACAATTATTATGGAACAAAAGCCTCCAAACATAAAACTCTCAATTGTCTGGAGACCCTAAGGTGGCCCTATTTCTAGGGGGTCAGGCAGATAAGACCCAGAGCCATAATGGGTGACCTTCAAGGTGGCAGTTCCAAGAGGCAAATAGATGGAAAGCGGAGAGCAGGTGGATGATGAGGTAAAGATTCTTCAGTGTCTGTCTACATGGGTCAAAATGAAGGAGGGAGAAAATTCAAACTGAATTACTTCAGCCTGGGACTGTAAGTACAGATTAAGACCTTAGGTGACAGGGACAGAGAGGAGAGCAGATAAGAGAGGCTAAGGACCTGGACTGATGGCAGGAGCAGATTGAGACTGCTAGCTATGGCACAGGTGCTTGGATAAGATGAACAATGCCTGGTGTGACAGGTGTCCATGTTCCCCGAAGAATCTAAAGAAAGGGTTAGATAATGATGGTATCTCAAACTTGGTCAGGGGACCGGGCATGTTGCTCCATCTTGATGAATGCTGGCCTCCCTGACTTTTCTCCTAGTGACCAATAGCGCCATCAGCCAGTGTTATGGTTACTTGAGGGAATCATTTTTAAAATGGATTTTAACCCACTGAATTCATATAATCCCATTTTCCAGCTTCCTGCAGTCCTTAGATTACTCTGATCTCATGAGGATGAACCCTGAAATTAGGGTTCCTACCTCATTGCTCATTGCTGTAGGTCTCCTTGAGATTTGTGGATTGGAAAGTTTCCCCTGCCCTGATGTCTTAGTCAAATGTGGGTAGGAGTCTATATTATTTAGAGCCACTGCTAAGGGAAAATGTAGCTCTCCTATTCCAGAGATTATGAAGAAGGACAGAGAGCTGTCTCAGTGGGGAAAGTGCTTACTAAATACAAATGGGGACCTGTGTTTGAATCTCTGACACCCTTGTGGACATGGTGGGGCACAGCTTAACCTCAGTGCTGAGGGTCAGAAACAGGCAGATCCTGAGGACCTGCTGCCCAACCAAACTAGTTGAAACAATGAGCTCCAAGGACAGTGGGAGACCTTGTCTCAGACAGCCAGACGATAGGTAAAATAAAGAATGATTGAGGGACACATCTGGCATGGACCTCTGGTCTTCACAGGTACACACAGATGAACACAGCATGCACACACACACACACAATGTTTTTTTTAAAAAATTATGAAGAATGGCAGGGTAGTCAGAGAAGGAGTCTGAAGGTGGCTCTGCAGCAGATGCTGTACTAAGCTCAGGCACTGAGCCGGCTTTGGGCAAGGTTTGTGGGTCAGGCCTCACTAGGCCAAAGAGCCAGAGAACAGCTTAGCAAGGCTGGGCTGAAAGGCAGTCTTGTCCTCAGCAGTGGGAGCAGCAGCCCCGCCTCCCACATCACTGCCCCTCCTCCACTCCAGGGCTCTCAGAGTTGCCTTTCAGGCTGAGCTGGTTTAGTTTTGGCTGATGTCACAGTCATCAGGAAAGGGGAGCATGGTTGGGGATCCATGAGACAGACATCAAAGGAGAAGAAGCAGGCAATAGTGTCTCCAAATGAACTCCCAGCACACCATGGCCTTCTAACCAGCCCTGGCTGAGCTGCTTGGCATTGCCTGTGCAGATAAGAGATGCAGCAATCAAAGGCAAACCCAAAGGGGTGTGATTATGGTGAATTAGAGAGCAGGCCTAGGTGTTTTTAGGTCCCAGCACTACCATTTATCAGCTGTGTAGTCTTAGGCAAGTTACTTAACCTCTCTGGATCTCTATTTCCTTCTCCACAAAATGCTGCTCTGATCAAACCTGCTTTGGGAGGTTGTGACATTGTGAGTCCATATGTGAACACTATTTGCTGCTCAAAGATGCTGCCTGTAACTATTACTTAACAATTCTGTCTAGTCTCAGCAAACAGAAAGGAGATGTTCAATTACACGAGCTCTCTCCTCTTTCTCTGTCTCAGCCCCTCTCTCCCTCTGTCTCTGTCTGTCTATCTCTGTCTCTCTGCTAGGGATCAAACTCAAGGCTTTGCACATTAAACAAGTGTTCTAACACTCAGCTATCCCTTTAGCCCTACAGTGTCATTCCATGAGTGTCCCTATTGAGAGAACCCTCACTCCTCTGGGAGATGGGATCCTCTCCTCCTCTTTATTGTTGAGCTTTACAGTTCTTAGCTTCCTCACCCAGCACAACACCCATTTCACTTCACTTAAATCTGTGTGCTCCTGTTCTTCTCTCATAGGTTACATCCCCACCGCAGTATCCTCTCAGTTCCTCTGCCCCCCCCCCTCCCTTTCCCCCAGATATACTCTTCCTCCACCCCTCCCCTCCAAAAAAAGGAGCAGGCCTCCCAGGGATATCTAACAAACATGGCCTAATAAGTTATAATATGTTAAAACACAAACCCTCCTATCAAGGCTGGATCAGGCAACCCAGTAGGAAGAAAAGGCCCATGCCTGCCACTGCCTGGATGTTCAGGAATCAGACACTGGACAGCCCAGAGTCCCAGGAAAGAACCAAACATGACTCAAATCATACAGCCCCATTCCATGACCCGACACCCATGCTCAGCAAGTGTTTATCTGCAGGATAAGTGAGCACCTGGAGGTGACTCTCCAGTCACAGAGCTTTGATAGCTTACTCTGAAAGTCACAGAGCTGTCCAGTGGCTGGATCAGAACTTGAACCTATTTCAAAGCCATGAGTATTTACCTATGGTGTAACCTTGCCTTTGGCATAGGAAAAAGCTGGGACAGAGAAAATGGCACCTAGACCTGGGGCTAAGGAAATAAATAGGGTTGTCTGCATGAACCTGGTATCATAAAAACTGAAAAAGACAGCAAGTCATTTCTCAATACTACGAATTGAAAGGTAAAAGAGAAGATATGGACAGTGTCCTGGATGGAAAATGCACACATCCTTGTTCTCACTGCAGGAACCAAATAGAGGAAAGGACAAAAGAAGCAGATAGCCAGGGAATGTCTAGTCAGAAGTTTGGTGTCTGGAGTCAGGTGGATCTGGATTGGATTCTGTGTCACTTGGTAGCTGTGTGACCTGAAGCAAGCTATTCAAGCTTAAGTATCAGTTTCCTCATCAGACAAACACCACACCCCTCACCTCTGCATACAGCTGATGGATGAGTGGATGGGGTGATGATATGATGTCCTTGGCACACAGGCTGGCCATTGCTACTACTCCTGGTAGTTAATTCTCTCTTCCTGTTCCACAATCCAAGTTTGACCACACAAGATGGGTAAATTGGTCCCCAGAGGCATGACAAATCAGAACGGCCTTAGAAACTGTAGCATTGACCTCACACATCACATGGCAGATTCCTACTGTCCCTCTGCTGTCATGGAGCCTCTTAAGTCAAACAAAATTGTGTTTGGAAGCATCTCTAGCACATAGTAGGTGCTTTGTAGATCCATAGACCAAGTTAAATGATACTCTTTCTTTCTTGGTCTTCATTCAGATGAGTTAATTCTAACCCTCAATCTGCAAAACTCAAGGCAGCCAGGGCCTAGGGAAATGGCTCAGTCAACGAAGCTGCATGTTGTCCAAACAGAAGTATCTGAGTTCTGATCCCCAGAAGCCACACAAAAAGCTGGTCAGGTGCTGAGGCAAATGTCTATAAACCCAGAGCAGAGAAAGAGAGGGTCCCTGAAACTCCCTGGTCAGTCAGCAAACCAAATCAGGGAGCTCTGGGGTCAGTTGGAGACCCTGTCTCAAAAAATAAGGTGGAAAGTGAGAGTGACACCCACCATTGACTTCTGACCTTCACATGTGAGCCTATGTGCACTCATACACACACACCTGCACACACAAATGGGAATTTGTACACACATACACAAAACATCTTTCAGTAATCAAATGTACATTACTGTTGATTCACTTAAAACTTTGGTACAATTTTTGACTTTTCTATAATGAAGACTCCGGACATTCCCAAATGCCCTACCCTTCATCAGTACACACACACACACACACACACACACACACACACAGGCCCCACAACCCCTCCCAAGCAATGCAGTCAGAAAACACAAATGCAGCTGATTACTACCTCGCCTCCTCACAGGTGGGGCAGGCAAATATTTCCCCACATGAGCCATCAGGAACACATGTCTAGATAGAATGTGTCTGCGGTTTCCTTCGTAAGGGTGCTTTTGGATTCTTGGCAAGGAGGAAACTCTAAACAGATTCTTCTCGGGAGAATTTCCAGACTACAGGAGGAACTATAGTTAAAACATTGGGGAATTCTTTTTTTATTTTTTTTTATTTGAATTAGAAACAAGATTGAATTATACGACAATCCCAGTTCCCTTCTCCCTCCCTTCTTCCGCTACCACCCCCCCAACTAAAACCCTACCTATCGCATATCCTTTCTTCTAATCTACACCTGACTCAACCTTTCTGCTCCCTCATGACCTCTGCATCCTTCCTCTTCTTCCCTTCTCATTCTCCTAGCTCCCCCCCCCATGCTCTCAATTTGCTCAGTTTCTGGCTATTACAAATAGTGCTGCTATGAACATGGATGAACAGATGTCCTTGTTGTATGAATGTGCTTCTTTTGGATATATGCCTAGGAGTGGAATTGCTGGATCTTGTGGTAGACTGATTCCCATTTTCTTGAGGAGTCGCCATACTGACTTTCAAAGTGGCTATACATGTTGGCAATCCCACCAGCAGTGGAGAAGTGTTCCCCTTTCTCCACATCCTCTCCAGCATAAACTGTCATTGGTGTTTTTTATTTTAGCCATTCTGACAGGAGTAAGATGGTATCTCAGAGTTGTTTCGATTTGCATTTCCCTGATGGCTAAGGATGTTGAACACTTTCTTATGTGTCTTTCAGCCATTTTAGATTTCTCTATTGAGAATTGTCTTTTTAGTTCTGTACCCCACCTTTTAATTGAATTGTTTGGTGTTTTGGAGACTAGCTTCTTTCTTGAGTTCTTTGTATATTTTGGAGATCAGGTGAATATTTTTTCCCATTCTGTGGGATGCTGTTTTTGTCTTCTTGACTGTGTCGTTTGCCTTACAAAAGCTTCTCAGTTTCAGGAGGTCCCATTTATTGTCAGCATCAGTGTCTGTGCTACTGATGTTATTCAGGAAGCAGTCTCCTGTACCAATTTGTTTGAGGGTACCACCTACTTTCTCTTCTAAGAGGTTCAGTGTGGCTGGATTTATGTTAAGGTCTTTGATTCATTTGGAGTTAAGTTTTGTGCATGGCGATAGATATGGATCTATCTGCACAGTAAGGATTTCTTGAGCACCTATTTTGTGCCTTGTACTACTCTTGGTCTAGAGACCAGAGAGAAGGACAATAGTCCCTACCTACCTTGGAAGAGGAACAGGCAATTAGTGGGTGTGAAGTGTCATTCGAGGGGCGCATATAGAATGCTTTTCTCAAAGGATAATTTGTTTTACTCCAGACTGTCTTTCCCCACCCCATTCTCTCTCACACACATACTGTTATTCTTTTGTTTAAAAAGAAGAAAAGAGAAATGCTGAGACATGAGGCATGTTGACTATAAGTTTATTATAAGGCCCAGCAGAGTAGGGAGACTAAGAAGAGGAGAAGAACAGGGTAAATGGCTGACTGCCATGGCCAGTCGCCATAGAGAGGCAGAGAGAGCATAGGTGAGAGAGAGAGTAGAGAGGAAGTAGAGAGTGTAAATAGGCAGGGATCTGTCTTTTTAAAGGGGTCCTCTGCACCTGCATGCAGACTTAGTTCCCATGGAACTTTGGGCTGACCAGGGTACTGCCTGTTCCATCAGGTAACAGGGGCAGGCCAGCATAATGCCTGAACCTTTCACATATATCCTTGTAAATCCACAAAAGAACACTGGATTCTACACTACTCTATATCATCCTTTACAATCTTAAATTAAATTCTTCACAGGGCCAACACATAGCTAAGCATAGGATGAGCACCTAAGGAAAGCCATAAGATCTGCAAAGTGTCCAACAATGCTTTGCATTCTAGATTATCAACTGTTAAGCCCTGCATATAGGCAGAGCACTGGGGGAGTCAGCCTAGAGACAGAGCCAAGCCCTCTGATTGGTTCTGTTCCACTTCCTCAGCAGTGAATTACAAGGGAAAAAAAAGATGCATACAGTAGACTCTATGACCTTCTGAATTTGTTTGTGGTCTTTGTTTTTGCAGTATATCTGCGTAGGTAGCGCAAATTGGCATGGAGTTCCTAATCCTGATACAGCTCCCGAGTGCTGGGTTTAGAAGTGTACACCATTTATATGCAGATTTTTCAGTACTAATTTGTTTTTACTATAAAAGAAAGAAATCTACTTTTCTTTTTGTTGTGTTGTTTCTTATTATTTTGTTGTCTTGTTTTTGAGACAGGGTTTCTCTCCCTGGCTGTCCTGGAACTCACTCTGTAGACTATGCTGGTCTTGAACTGGCCTTTGTCTCCCGAGTGCTGGGTTAAAGGTGTGCACCACCACTGCCCAGCATTTATTATTTTAAAATTTAGCTTTCTTTAAAAAAAAATCTGTTTTTAGACTTACTTAATATGTATGAGTGTTTTGCCTGTATACATACATACATACATACATACATACATACATACATACATACACCATGTGCTTGATGCCTGTGGAGGTCAGAAGGGGTCAATGAGTCCCCTGGAACTAGAGTTACAAACAGTTGTGAGTGAGTCACTATGTGGGAGACTGGGAACTCAACCTGGTTCTCTGCAAGAGCAAAAACTGTTCTTAACTCTTAACTGCTGAACCAGCTTTCCACCCCCATAAATCTACCTTCCTTTAACCTCTTCCTGTTTCCTTTCAGATTCCGCCTCTCTTTGCCACAGAACAGCCATAGAGATGCTAAGGTAAGAATGCAAGCTCTCAGGGTGCCCTGAAAAAGGCACAAGAAACAGAATTCTGTGTACGTTGTTTTCTGTGTCTCTGAATCCTTGATGTCTCCATAGTTTTAGCTCTGAATTTTTTTTCTTGTTCGTGTGTTTGGTTGATTTTGCAGTGCGGGGAGGGGAGGAGGGGTTGAACCTGAGGCCTTCGTGGTATTCATTTATCAAGCCCATTAGCTTAGCAGTAGACTTTTATTCATATTACAGGGCTTTGAAAAGAATTGGAAAGACTCTGTGTGATGCTACAAAAATGGGCATTCTCGTGGGCGGTTTGTTTCCTAGATGTAGTGATCCTGTAGTGTTAAATTTAAGTTTCAGAATTCCACAATTAAGTTCATTCTTCAAAGGCATCCAACCCATATCCAGCTTGGGAGTAGTCTTAGCTCCTTTTCTGATGCTGTGATAACACACCACCGACATTTCCATAATGACAGGGATGCCATGGTCTGGTAGCAGGGGCAGGAAGTGGCTAATTACATTTCCATACATACACAGGAAGTAGAGTGAGCAAGCAAGAAGTAGGGTGAAGCTATAAACTCCCAAATCCTGCCCCAGGGACATACTTCCTCCAGCAAGGCCAAAACAAAGGGGTTCCATAACCTCCAATAGCACCACCAATTAGGGACCAAGTATTCAAATACATGAGGCTGTGGGAGACATTTCTCATTTAAATCCCTGCACACCCCAACAAGTAACTTGTGTTATTGTTTTGTTTAAAAAGAAGAAAAGAGAAATTGCTGAGACAGACATAAGACTATAAGTTTATTATAAGGCCCGGCAGAATGGGGAGACTAAGAAGAGGAACAGGGCAAATGGCTGACCGCCATGGCCGGTCGCCATAGAGAGACAGAGCGGGAAAACAGGGGACAGAGAACGGGACCAGAGAGCGGGACAGAGAAACAGAGAGACAGAGAAACAGAGCGGGACAGAGAAACAGAGAAACAGAGAGAAACAGAGAAACAGAGAGCGTAAATGGGCAGGGGCCTCTTTTAAAGGGGTCCTCTGCACCTGTATGCAGACTTAGTTCCCATGGAACCTTGGGCTGACCAGGGTTCTGCCTGAGTGGATTCCACCAGGTAACAGGGGCAGGCAAGCATAATGCCTGAACCTTTCAACTTGGAATGCCCATATTCCTAGATGTCAAAGTGTCAACCAAGTCCATGACTTTCTATGGTCACAAATGGTCCTATTGTAGAATGTGGGAGCACAGGCGTTGAAATTCCTGGGTAGAACTCTGCCTAGCGCATGCTCAGCTATACACAAACATTCATTCTTAATGTCATTCTTTTATTTACAACTTCTTACTGAGCATTGCAGTGTTCAAGACAAATGTTAACCTTATGGCATTAACATTCTCTGCTGTGATTCTCCACTGGGGACCCCTTAGTCCTTTAGGGACTTCTGCTATCATGACTTGGAATGGGAAGAGGGGTGATATAGGGACAGATGTCAGAGAATTTTCTAAGCTTCCCATAGCATATCAGCCAGGCAAACAAACTAACATCCCAAAATATCAATAGTGCTACTATTTGGAACCCAGTTTTAGAATATGTGTATGCTTTTGCAACCAGTTGGGGGTCCAAATAGTGAACAAATATACAGTGCATATACTGAAAATAACATAAAAAAACAGAGTAGGCAATTGGAGCAGGTATGGGGCCAGGGATCACTTGGAGTCGTTGAGAGGCTCTGCTGAAGCCCAATTCACTCAACACATCTACAGCATGGTAGGTGGTAGGTAGTTAGTAAATGACGGCAGTGTTCCTGTACTTATAATAACTGATGCATTTGCCAGTGTAAGTGGAGAATACACATAATAGTTCGTGCATTAACTCTGAGGTCAAACTGCACCAGTGGAGTCCCACTTACTGGCTGTATGTTCTTAGACGGGCCACTTATCCTCTCATGAGGTAGTGCATGGCAGATATAGAGAGTGAGTTAATTGTTGCCACATCCAACAGAAAGGTGGCAGTAAGACAGGACCAGGCCTGGGAATGTTAGTCAAGTCAGCAAATTTAGCTGAGGCCAAAATATATAGTCCATATGTGATTTAAGACATACCTTTCATGCCAGTCTCTGAAGTCTGAAACGCCAGTATCAAAGTGGAGTGTGTTGATGCACATCCACAATCCCAGGAAAATGCCTACTGTTGACAACACAATGTATTGACCATAGCATGGCAATAGTTTATACCTAGAATTTGCATAGTATTAACCTGTGTAATTCTGATAACCACCTGTGAGAAGCTGCTGCTTATAATGATGGTGGTGGTGGCAATGAAGATGACAATAATGGTGGTGGTAGTGGTGATGGCAATGATGGTGGTGATGATGGTGATGATGACAAAGATGGTGACAATGACAATGATGGTGGTGGTCATGATGATGATGATGATAACCTATTATTATTGTTTTCATCTTATAGTTGTTGGAATTGAGGCACTGGAAGACTGAATAACTCTTCCAATACAACAAAATAACTCAAATAGAAAAATAAAACAAAAGAGATAAGCTAGACAGACTGGCTTCAAGTTGTCCAAAAAGTTTTCACTGATACAGGTGTGGTGGCAAACACCTGTAATCCCAGCATTAAGAAAGTCTAAATCAATAAGAATATGAGTTCATGGTCAGCCTAGGCTACATAAGGACTCCCAAGTTTAAGTTTGAGGTTATATAGTGAGACCCTATCCCAGCAAATAAAAAAGTATTTACTAAATGAGTTGCTGTTCATCTAGGTCCATTCAAGACTTATTTTTATTTGTGCGCGCGCGCATGCGCGCGCGTGTGTGTGTGTGTGTGTGTGTGTGTGTGTGTGTGTGTATCTGTGTGAGTATTGCACCCACAAAGTCCAGAAGAGGGTATCAGAACCCCCAGAATTACAGGTAGTTGTGAACTACCTGATGTGGGTGGTGGGAACTGAACTTCTGTCCTCTGAAAGAACAATATGTGCTCTTAACTACTGGACAACCTCTTTCACCCACCCCCCATTTACTTTTAATACCTGGATCTTTCCAGAAAGCAACACTGCCTAGGATATACAAATACCTATTTATTAAAGATAAAGTGGGTGTTCTGGTGGTGCTGCCAATACAAAGGGAAGACCTGTGGTGTGGTTTCCAGTAACACAGGGAAGACTGATAGCTGGACGACACCTTAGTGATCCATAGTTTACCTGGTCTGTACCGAAGTGAGTACATTTGCTTTCATTCTGGGTCTCTGTTCATTATCACCAGTGTAAAAGGAAACAGAAGGGCCCTCCCACCATGGAGAAAAGAACCTGCATGGCATGGCTTTCCACAAAGCTAGCACACACCCACAGGGAAGCTCTATAGTCATGGCTTTCTATCCCGAGTTCTGGGGATGTGCACACCCAAACCAGGCATGATGCTTTTGGGGAACCCTGATTAGGCAATTGACGAAGTCGCCTTTTTCATTTTAGGTCGTGAGGTTTGAGAATATCCTATCTTCCATTCTTCACTTTGGAGTCCTCCCGTTGGCCAACAGTAAGGAATTCTTTACAAAACAGTGGGACTCTGGGATTGGTTACACTTTTGGTTTTTTGTTTTTGTTTTTTGAACTTCCTATCCTGATGCCTGTATGTTTAGAGTGCTATTGTGAATTCGGGTCAGAGATATAAGTTTACAATATATAAGTTTGCATAAAGAGCTGAAGAAACCAATCAACAGGTTTATACTTGCTAACAATACTATTTACACACTCAGCAAGAAAGGCAAACTTGGCTTTAGTTAAAGAGATAAAACTTCTGTTCTTAGACAGTTAAGTCTCCCTAAGGTCAACAGAAATGATATTATACTCCCTAGGACTACTGTCTGGAAAGACATGGTTTAATGGATGACAATCCTGGTTCTCTCTCTCATCTACAATGGCAAACCAAAGCATCTGGAGTTCGGCTCAGTTAAAATATCTTTATAATAGACACAAAATGTCCCAAAGTCCACACGAATTAGGAATTTTCAAAATATAAATGGGGGGGGATGATGGATTGATAGTTAAGTTGGCAAAATGCTTGTCTTGAAAGCACAAAGACCTGAATTCAATCTTCCAGGAACCTTCCCCATTTTTTTAAATGCTGGGCACAATGGTACATATTTACAATCTCAGTACTGATGGAGGCAGAGACAGGTGAACCCCTGGGGCTTACTGCCAGCCTTGCCTACTTGGGAGTTTCAGGTCAATGAGGAACCCCCATCTCAAAAGCAATAATAATCAAGGCAGTAGATGAAAGTGAGGAATGACACTGAGGTTATCCTCTGTCCTCCACACACATGTGAATACACCACACACACACACAATACACCCTACTGTTAGAAAGATGTATATATGTATATGTATGTATGCAAATCTGTACATATCTTTTATGTAGAAAATGAAAAGCATAGTCAGGCATGGTTAGTACTTAAATGGGATAAAATGGGAAGTGTTTTGTTTTATTTAGTATCCAAATATACATAATTAATGCACTTTTACAGAATATAAATTAATTACTAATTACTAATTCATCCAGCAAAATGCTAGGGACAGATCACTGTGAATTAAAACAAGACCAGGAACAATGATAAGATAAACTATTAAAATGCTTCTAATTCATCTCTTTCTAAAATGCCGGCCAAAAAACCAGTGCCCCATGCCCACTTACCTTGCACCTTTTTCTACATTGTAGCAAAACTGCAGCAAGGATTTCCTCTCCCCAACCCCTACAACATCTCATTTGTCAACTCAGACATTGAAGTTCTCGAGGTAAGATTCTGAACCTCTTCTCTGCTATTGATTTTCACAGCAGAACAAGCATCCTGTTTCCTTCATTACTTAGTTTTTAAAGATTTGTTTACTTTATTTCATGTGGATATGTGTGTGCATGAGTGTATGTATGCCCTATTCATTCTGGTGCCACATCAGATCCCCTGGAACTAGACTGACAGCCAATCACAAGTCATACCATGTAGGTACTAGGAACCAAATCCATGTCCTCTGTAAGAACATGAGTTCTCTTATCCACTCAGCCATCTCTCCATATCCTCATTATGTTTTACTTTTGCTTTCCTCTGACTTTTTACCAGTCCAAGAAGTTTCACAAACAGAACCATCCAGCTATTAAAGCTTCTAATTAGCAATGAAAAATTTAAAAGTTAGACCAAGTCTAATTTCACTTCGAAGTTACATTTAATCATGCCACAGTATAAGAAAACACTTTAAAAGTATTTTATTTCACCAGGCAAGCTGTAAGGCTGACATCATTAAAGCCATTTTCTGAGGAAAGAATACCCAATGAAGTTTATAAAGGAAAACAGCTGGTATATTAGTTACTTGTGTTGTGTGACTAAATGCCTGACAGGATACAACGTAATAGAGAAAGAGCTTCTTCTGGCTTACAGCTGGAAGGTATACAGTCCACTACATCAGGGAAAGGTGTGGCAACAGAATTATGAGAGATCTGGTCACATTTCCAGGAAGTCAGGAAGCAGTGTCCCAAGCCTAAAACCTGAAGACATGCTCCAATGGCCCACTTCCTCCCTCAAGATCTCTTTTGCCTCCAAGATTCCACAACCTTCCAAAGCAGTGTCACTACCTGGTGATCAAGTTTCTAAACACATGAGGCTGGGGACATTTTGCATTGAAACCACCACAATTGAGACCTATTGATTGGCTCTAACACTTTTCAGCCATTCTCAGGACGGGACCCCAGTGAACGCTGTTTCCTGAGAGATTGTTATTCAATAACTTCTCAATACTGCTTCCCCCTTCTTTTCTTCCTTTTGTTGTTGTTGTTGTTTGGAAAGCAGAAACAATGTTCAGAAAACATGGCCTACCTACCCCACTACTCCACGCACCCTCTTACCCCAGGCGTCCTCTTCTCCACACCCCATCACTTAGGTCATATCTATCGACAGTGACCCAAAATGGCCTCTTCTTGCATCAGGGGCCTTCACATGTGGTACAGGGGCTGGGGAAAGGCTTGGTGCCTTAGAGCCTGGCAGAGAAACTTTCCTTCCCTGAGGCAAACCCAGATATGCCCTTAATTTAATGGTATCTTCATTCCACATACTTTTCAGGGTTTCCTTCTGATTTCTACTGACCTGGCGCATGAGACATCCTCAAGACAACAGCCAAATCTCCACAGTTGGGGAGGTCTGAACCTGGTCAATAGACCATGGAGAGAACAGCCAACCCATTGATGGCTGGGTCCCAATCCCCCCAGGAAGTAAACATCCTTCTGTCCCACAGAACCTGGAAGATGAAGGCCATGCACCCTGGATGTTAAAGTCCTGTGACACAGTTCTCTCTGGAGCCCTAAGAGACCTAGAATGAGGCCGACTGAGTTAAAGGGTTGAACAGGGACAAGGCAGTAGGGATGGGATATATGTATGTCAGTGTATGCAAGCATGCTGTGTGTTTATAATCTGTGGATAAGAACGAGGCATACCAATCCACCCAGGTGGGTAAGGAACTTGTCTGTATCTGCACTGGCTCTGTGTGTGTGTGTGTGTGTGTGTGTGTGTGTGTGTGTGTGTGTGTGTTGTATGTCTGCTCTTTAGAGAGACTCTTTAGTTGGATTTTGTGTTTTATGTTTACTATCCTGTTCTTAATTAATTAAATTGTTTTCTATCAATGTCAGTCTCTGTGTGTGAAAGCGCCTGTCCTGAATTTATTTTAATAAACATGACAGAAAATGGAGTTAATTTTTTTAAAACTTTGGCAAAGACTAAAGTTCTACAGATATCAGTATTAAAAATATTAACCTTAGGGGCTGGAGAGATGGCTCAGAGGTTAAGAGCACTGTCTGCTCTTCCAGAGGTCCTGAGTTCAATTCCCAGCAACCACATGGTGGCTCACAACCATCCGTTATGAGACCTGGTGCCCTCTTCTGGTGTGCAGATATACATGGAAGCAGAATGTTGTACACATAATAAATAAATAAAATCTTTAAAAAAATATTAACCTTAAATCTTAACTCTTCCTGTGGTCATCCTGTGTCATTTGTTTATTTAAGTTTGAAGATGTGAACAAGGATTGAACAAAAATGGCAGTTCAGCTTACTAAACCTAGACAATTCACAGCTGACATTAGTGTTGTTAATCAGCTGGGTGAGATGGGACAGGGGAACAGGATGGGATAGCCAGGATGGATATGTAAAAATGAACAGAAACCACACCTCTGCTTGTACACCACTTAGGTTATTGGGGAAATGGAAGAGAACTGTTTAAGTGCTTAAAGCCCTGGCCTGGTTACTCCTCCAGCTTCATTCCCGTGACTTTCACAGCCACTCTATGAAGAATTATGATCCCATTTCATCGATGAGAAAACTGAAGTTAAAAGGAATTTATCACATAGTTTGGTTACAGCATAGGTGGAAACTAAGCCTGTCTTCCTGATTGCTACTGTGCTTTTCTCCAAAGGAAATAGGACTAGAAACAAATCAACACAAGCTGTCTTCTTGCCACGGAGTCAACTGCCTTAAGGCACACCATAGAGGGCTTACTCCAAACAAAGCCAGGCTAAGAAACCGCAATAGTTCACAGCGATTGTAATTTATTCACCTTTGCAGGCATTGCTGGCCATACCAGATGCCTTCCTACGCGTTTGCAGAAATAAATGATAAAGCTGTAGTCATAGGATTCTTTGGAAAGCTCTTTTTGTATCAGAAAATGTTTGTTCTATGTCCACGATTCCATTTTGAAACATTACAATGTCAAATGCGCTGTTCATTAGTATTTTATCTTGCTCAGATGCTTCACTAATGGGTCTGCGAACTCCAAGCTATATATTCGTTAGAGCAGTTGACCTGACCCAGATTCAAGGGTTTTCGGGAGCGGCTTAAAAACATTCCAAAACATGCCTCTAAAGGGGATCTCTGAGAGTTCGAGGCCGGTATGTTCCAACGAGTCCTACTGAGTTCCAGGCTCACCCAGGCTAAACAGTCAGCCCTTACCTTTGGTGGAAAAAAAAAATACACGAGAAGGGCAGTTTAGCCAGATCTCATTCAAAACCAGTTTGGTTTAACTTTAGCTCATCGCAACGAGATGGCCACAACTTGCGCGACGAATTTTGAGCCTCGGTGCTTGCCTTCTTCCCTCCCGCGGCGGAGCTGTCCGCGCCTGCGCCCTGAGTGCTCACCGGTGGCTGCGCGGAGCGAGTGGACAGCGCGG